TTTTTGCATTACTAATATGGAAAGGGAAAATAAAGTACTAGTGTTACTTACCAGCTGGTAAACATGATTTTATTTCTGCTAATAACCTAAATATTTTTCTAAAAAATGTAACATACCTAATATCTGAAGTAGATTTTGCTGAAAAAAATATTTTGACTTTTTTTTAAAATGTACTTTTTACATTTCATACAACATCATGGATTTATTGTCATTATTTTAAATGAATTAGTAAACACTTAAAAATTTAAAAAAATTTTTGAGCCACATGTGGTGACATATGCTTATAATCCTAGTGACTCAGGAAGCTGAGGCAAATGTCCAGGCCTTATGCTACTTCCACTAGCCTGGACCTCTCCATTTGTTGTTAGCTCTCCAGATGATTGTGATACACACCAACAGTGAGAAGCTGCAGCCATAGACAGCTCCATAGCACTAGGCTCTTTCTTAACTCTGCTCTAATACACTTGGAGTACATTATTTAACCTAATCTCCTTTCCAAAAACTGGCTTTTCTTTTCTTTTTTTTTTTTCATGGATTTCATTAAAGCAAAATAAAAATCTCAACTATATAGGTAAACAAGAGGTATGTTAGTTCATTTTCCAGTGCTATAACAAAATATCTGAGGCCAGCTAATTTTGAAAAGAAAAAAAAAATGTTCATTTAGATCATAATTTTGGAGGCTTAGATTTCAAACCTGGGAAAGCCCCATTTATTCAGTCTCCTAACAACAGATGATATCACAATGGTGGCAGGAGCCCATGTGAGGGGAGAGATTGTGTCTTAAAACAGGAAGCCAGAGAGTGATTTAGGGGTTGCATTCATTTTTATAACTCACTATTCTGAGAACTCAAGGGGTCCCTTGAAAGCTACATTAATTCCTTCCAAGAGTACATCTTCAACGACCTTAACAACCCCCACTAGGTCCACTTCTTAAAGGTTCCATCATCTTCAAACACTACCACCTTGGGGACCCAGTCTCCAATACATTGGCCTTTGGGAGAAAAAATACACATTCAAATCAAAACAAGAGAAAATTCAATGCTTTTGGATGGAAAAATTCTTACTGCAAGAGGCACATGACCAGCTTCAGAGATGTACCTCAGCCTTGTTTATTCAGAACTAGAATTATACAGAGGAAAAATGGAGCCACAGATTCACCATCATCTTGAAACAGGATTTCCCAAATCCTTTCATATTTGCCTTTTATTCATTAAGGGTTGATACATGAGGCCCCAGTTCTAGTGTTTTCCTATGGGGTAGAAAGAGTGTCATTTCTTTTGTGTATGCTTTTCTGTATTCCTGTGTAGAACTAGGGCTTTGAGCATGCTAAGCACACAATCTATGAGATATACACCCAGCCTAGAAAAGTGTCATTTCTGATTGGGAGAAACAGAAATGCCCCATGGTAGAATGCTCTCACCTAGAGAAATTTTTACCCCCAGGAGACATTTGGTGATGCCTGGAATCATTTGGGTTGTTGCAACTGGAGGCCTAGGTGCTACTGACATCTGGAAAGTAGAAGCAATGCAGCAAGCCTCATCTCTCTGAGGAGCCTTCCTCTGATTATTGCTGCAAGTCAGCAACAGTGTGTCACCCCATCTCAGGACTAAGCTACTAAAATACCTTTAGAGGATGATACTGATGGTTAGGTGACATGTGAATCCACGTTTCTTTCTCCAGAGAACAAGTTTTCTCTATTGGGTCTGTTTTGCCGTCTCTTCAAAATGAGAGGACTACACTCAGGATTTCTCCTAGTCAGACAAAACAAATGAGACACTTGCTCATCCACATGTTGGTGAGCAAGTCAGGATGGCAAGTCGACTGCACTTCAGGTGGCAGAGTGTCTGAAACTTGCCCCCAGTGGTGCCATGCTGGCATGGGAATTGAGATTAAGGTATCATCTAAAGGATGTCAAGTCTGCAGAGTGGCAGCCAGCCTCCTAGTCCCCCATGTCAATCATTTTCTCTCCTTTTATGCATGTGCCAAAAGCAACCACAATTTGTATTTTCCATATAGTTTGCCCCAACCCGGGTGTTGTGGTATATATACACAATTGATTTTTATTTGAAGAATGAAACCATGTCATTTGCAAGCAAATGGATGTGAGTAGAGAACATCATGGTAAATGAGATAAGTCAGACTCAGAAAGTCAAGGGTCATATGTTTTTTCTCATGTAGAAAGAAAGTAGAGAGAAAAAAAGGTTGGGATTGGGGATCTTATGATACTAGACAGAAGATCAACAGAATAGAGGAAGGGGATCAGGGAAAGGAAAGGTACTGGAGAACAAAACTGACCCAAATATGCTGTTATATTGTGTGCATGTATAAATATGCAACAATGAATCTATTATGTATAATTATAATGCACCAAGAAAGAATTAAATAAAAGAAAAAATTCAAAAAACAAAATAAATTTAACTTGCTTTAAAAAGGGAGGATGAGGCTGGGCATGAGGATACATGCCTGTAATCCCAGCAATTTGAGAGACGAGGCAGGAGGATAGCAAGTTCAAAGATAGCCTCCACAATTTAGTGAGGTCCTAAACAATTTAGTGAGACATTGTCTCAAAAAAAAAAAAAAATAGGATGTGGCTCAGTGATTGAAGTGATCCTGGATTCAATCCCTAGCATAAATAAATAAATGTTATAAGGAGGTGAGCTGGGGAATGATGTTGGCCAAATTATATTGTTTTACTGAGTACATGTAGAATTATGTAGCAACAAATCCCAGCAATATGTACAATTACAATGCACAATTTTTAAAAATATGGAAAAAAAAAGGATGGTGAGGCCAGGCTCAGTGGTATTCAGCTGTAATCCCTGTAACTCAGGAGGCTGAGGTAGGAGGAGCACAAATTTTAAGGAGTTATAGCTCAATGATAAGTACTTACCAGTATGTGTGAGGCCCTGGGTTCAATCCCCACCCCCACAAAATAAAAATAAAATTGATATTTAGTATCCCTGTTCAATTTTTTTTCAGAATCTAGGTGAGAATATTCAATGCAATTAAATTTAGCTTATTTGTGCATCTCCTATATGCCTAAAATTAAGATAGAACATAAAGTCACAATGAAAGGGCAAACACACTTCACCTAACTTGGGGAGAAAAAACTATTTTTTATAATTTGATCCAGTATTTCACCAAAGATGCTAACTTCTGGTTATTGGGGAAGAATCACCACTGCCATACAATCTTCTCCCCCTTAAACTTTCTTCCAGTGAATAATTTGGATGAGAATGCATGGCAGGTCTGAGAGCTCTCCACATTGTCTAGAACCCTTGGTGGTCATGAAGATGGAGGACAGAAGACCTGGCACCAGTGATGAGCTATTTATTCCCTTTTATATAGATAATGTGTGCATCATCCCATGTCTTGTTTGCTTGCTGATAGGTGTTAAAGGAAGTAATATATTTTTATCTTTAGCCTCCCCCAGGCATAATCTTTACCCCAATTCACCTAAGGAACCCATTTATCTTTGAGAATATAAGAATTTGTTTCAAAAGTAATACAAGAAAAAGAGAAAAATAATAGTCTGTTTCTGTTATTTAGAACTTAGTGTTGTGCAGAATAGACTTGGGGTCCCAGATAGACATTGTCCCAAAAGATAACTTCCCAAATTCCTTTCTACCTTTTATAAATTTAGGGTTGATCTCTAAGGCCCCAGTTCCAGTGATTTCCAATAGAGTAGTAAAAGTGTCATTTCTGGCCCAATCAGGTATGCCCCTCAGCAGTGTGGACACTTGGAGGAGTTCTGATCCCCCGAGGATACTTAATGATATCTGATGAGACATTTTGGATTATCACAACTTGGGGGTGGGTGATTCTAGCATGTAATAAGTAGAGAGACTAGGGAGCCTGCTAAACATCCTACCATGATTAGGTCAGTCCCCATCACAAAGAAGTATCTGGCCTCACAGACTATGTAGTTGAGAGCCTGCTTTATGGCAAAGTTTGTCAAAGTGTGACCCCTGCAGACCAGCAATATGAGAATCACTGAAAATTTGTTAGAAACACATATTCTCAGGCCCCCACCCCATACCAACCAAATCAAATTCCAGGGATGAGGACCAGAAATCAATGTTTTAACAAGCCTTCTAGGTGACTGTGAGGGTGTGCCGTAGTGTTAAGGTAAAGATTATGAAACATGATACTCAGGGGCTCTCAGTAAAGGAGGGGAGAAGAAAGAAACATAGGGAATTAAGATTTGTTCTGCTTTCTTAATGGGCTTCAGATGAAAGAATGGAGTCAGCATGGAACATGAAGGAAACACCAAAGCAAGTAGCTCCTTACTTTTTTTATATAAGTACAGCTGGCCACTAACATTTACAGATGTAGGTTAAAAGAGGATATGCATGATCTTAAGCTTCTGGGCTGACTAGGGTCTAGTGGCCTCTGTGCAACTGGCCTGACCCTGGCCCTCACTTGAGGTCAGGGAGCTTCCGAGATCTGGCTGAGATTCCTTTTTGTCTTGGCTTGGTAGTCCCCTCGGTAGCCCTTAATATCATGCCAACTCACCTTTTGCAAGCTGCCCAGACAGCCTGTCAGCTATCCCACCATGTTGAATTTATAATGGTTTGAAAAACCAAACTCTGTAAGTCTACCCTCCTCCTGTACTGGGCCAAGCTGATTCACTCCAGGAGCTCAGATACTTCTCTCTGCCCTTTGTTATGGCTGAGAAGGGTTGGGACCATCCATAGGAGAACCCAGAATAAGAGCAGGGAATCAAAAAGGACATTGAGTCGGGTACTAATGGTGGTAAGGAGAGGTTGACAGCCTCTAAGAACAACTGGTTTTTACCTGAGCATGGAATACCAATGGCATGGAAAGATCAATAAAAGGAAAACAGTGAATTTAAAACTCACAAAGCATATATATGAATTGCCTGTCATTTCCTGCATGCATTTGTATTTTATTTGACTTGTTGCTTTCAATTTATACTTATGAGATCAAGTATTCTGAGTATCTTCTCATTTTTTTCAACATTTTATTTGGTGGTCACTATAGCTTTTAAGGTGGCACTGGGTAGACTTATTTTGTAGTAAACATGAGAAACAGGTGGGATAACTTAAGCCAGAAGTGTGGTATGCTGGAAGATCAGGAAGTGGATGGTGGACTCCAGGCAGCTGGAGCTGAATCAAGAAGCCAGGGTGGGTGTGGTGACCAAAGTGCCAGGATTGATGGGTTACTCACAGCCCCACTGCTCACATGACAGCTCAGTCCATTTACTACACACCACTTATGACTCAATACCCTGGAAAAGAAAATCTGGTTGGTCTATTGTATGTCACATGTGACCAATGGGGAGGAAGCACAGCTTGATTATTAGGTCCACAGACTCTACTGAAGGGAGAGTGGTTTGCCAAAAGTATATCTAGGGCTGAGGATATAGCCCAGGGGTAGACTCATTGCCAAACATGCACAAGACCCTGGGTTCCATGTCTAACATGCAAATAAAAAAGAAAGGGGGGAAAAAACCAAAGAAGGATACTGGGATCTAACTACCAACAAAAGGCACTAGGGAGGCTAGGGACCCAAAAAGTGGGCATTCTCTAGACACAAACATAGAACATCTGCAATAGTTGGGCTTTGTATAATTAGTCCATACATTCCCTGCCTACAGCAACCAGAAAAAGTGTCTTGGAATTATGTAACATGGAAGCCTGAGAAAAAGCCCTAGGAAGCACAATATATCTCAGAAAAGATAAGTAAGAGGCATGTTTGGATTAGATCACAATAAGAAAAGAAACCCTGAAAATATAGTAGGAATGCTGGGAAAGGAGGCTGAGGGAATTGGGGTAAGGGTGTCAGAGAATGGAGTTAATTAGTTCATCTTGAAACAGGAGGGCATGAATGGGGCTATGACAGGTACAAGAGAAAATCTTATCCACTGTTTGCAGAGGCAGGCTTCAGGGTCCTGGGGGGTAATGCACAGCCTGCCTTTTAAAAAATCTCTATCACATCTAGAAAGATCCAAAAAGCTCATTACCCTTCAGAATGCCATACTGAGGGACTAGGGGTGTAGTTCAGGGTGGAGTACTTTTCTGGCATGCACAAGGCCCTCAGTTTTGTACTCAGTACCACAAAAATAAACAAAGAGATTGCCATACCTAAATGAGATTCCATTTTAAACCCAACCTCTATGCCACTTTCCAATTCCTCAAACAAGATAATCTGCAAAAAACAAAAACAAAAATCCTGTGGGGGCAGTCATGAAATTCAAGCTTCATCTCAGAAGCAAGGCAGAAGAACTCAAAGGAAGTAGCCTGGTGGAGATGGGGCACCATGTGGGTTCACCTCATTTGTTCCAGTATGGAGCCAGGGTCCTGGAAGGTAGAGAGTTTCCTGGGGTCCTATACTCCAGTAGCGTCCTAGGTTTTGTCCATTGATGAATACTACTCCTTTATTCCAGCCCTGAAAATCATGAGAATGCAGGATTCAGGGTATAAGTTCTAGATGTAAAGACATAAGGGATGAACACACACACACACATACACACACCTCATACACCACTGACACACCAAATCACAGTACAGATATACCCAGACAGGGTGGAATACCAACTAAAATCTTAAGTGGCAGGTAAATCCAGAGTCTTGTGATACTGAATCTGACAGGGGATTAACTCAGCATCCAAGCCTCAGGAAAGCACTAATTTCTAATTCATCTCCCTGTGTCTGCCCCAAGCCAGGAGAGAGAATTTCCACTTATCATCAGGTACTCATTAAAATACGCCAGGCTCAAAACAGCTAGAGTTGTAGAATTTCAGGTGTGGCAGCCAATATGTGCTGGCAACTCCTCATATCTCTGTCATATTTGTCTACCTTCTAACCCTGCCTTACTTAACCCTGGGGGAGAGACAATCTCCCAGATGGCTGTAGAATAGCTGAGGTCTTTGGGAGCTTATATTCCCTCACACAGGGCAGGGACTATACACTAAATGAGCTTTGTTAAAAGGTTCTTAGGGGTGTGTAGTTGGATGGCACATGGGCAAGGGATAAATTGTACTAACCTCCAGTTGTATAAAGGTGTCTTTGGGATCACCACTGATTTTCAGGTAACCAAGGAAGAAGGCAGGGCCCTTAACTTTCTCTGTGATTGGCTTCCAGATTTTGGGGAGTTTCCTAAAAGGGAGTCAAATAGGATTGTCATACCTTTCTTCAGTCTTTTCCCTGAAATCTGGTGTCCCCCACTATGGCACTGGCTATGCCTTCAGCATGTATAAGGCAGTAAGTCATGATTCCAGCTGCCTCCACACAGCTACAAAACATGGAATTATTTTCTTCAACATTCTGGTTTCTGATTTCCTTATCTGAAAACTCAGAGGTGCATCTGGAGGAACTCTGAGGCTTCTTCCATATCTACATGCTCTCCATCTTTATCAATCACCTAGAATCAATGGTCAGGCACCTACCTTTTTATGAATACACTTTTCATTTCCAGGCTGTATATTGTAAATTTTCTTAATGGAGAATTGTTCAGATAAATATCCCCAGTTAAACCTATAGGATATTGGAAAAAAGGGGGACATAAAGGAGGCTGGAAGGGTGCAGAGATATGCACAGACAATAACCAGGGATTCCAGCCCCATTGTAAGGTTTCCGCAAACTCCTACACACAATTTTTCTCCTGTGTCTATCTGTCTGTCTGCCTGTCTCTCTTTTTTCTTGCAGTACTAGGGACTGAACCCAGGACCTCACAAATGCTAGGCAAGCACTCTACCCATGAGCTACATCTGTATCCCAAATCCTACATACATTTTTTCCTTCTAAATATACATCTCTCCTAGATGGTGCCTGCATCTTCCACATTTATTGCACAGAGGTCACAACAACTCCTGCCAGGTCTGGCTGGCATAGGGCTTCAGACTAGTTGGAACATTCATTCATGTCAAATCACTAAGGGTAGAAGGAAGGTGTGTGACTCTGCCTGGGAGTTCTGGGGTTCAGGGAAGGACATACACAGGTCTAGCCTCCTAGGAAGGAAGGGGCAAAATCCTGAGAGAGGACCCCTGGCCAGGGAGACCTCTATAGCTTTCTCCTGGTGGAGCTACTTTTGAAATCCTCCCCCACCCCCCAAAAAATGCCCAGTGCTGGCTCTGCTTGGTAATTACAGAACACAAAGGAATCATCACAGTTTCTATACATAGGTATCTCACAGCCAAAGAGCATGCTCTCTTCCAACCATATGCCTGTCTCCATCTGCTCTCAGTCCGGAGTGCTGCGGGTTCTCAGCATCTGCATCTGGAGCCCACCTTTTCTCTCCTGGTTCATGCTCTTCCCAGAGGAGAGTCGGCCTTGATTCTCCACCAAGATCCTTAGAGTGTGGTATTCCTGGTGGTCCTGTGGAAGACAGACCCACCAGAGTGAATACTACTCAGGTACTATTCTGCAGACCTGCTGGGCCTCCCCTGAGGCTGAGATGAGAACAAGGGCAGGGTGACTAACAGCCAGCAGAACCCTGTGGATCTCCAGCTCTAAGCCAGGCAAACCCTTGGGTTCCTGCCTTCCTTTTCATCCCCCCACTCTCTGGGCCAAGTCTTCTAGGGAGGAAAGAGGAACCCAAACACTTCATCTAAGATGCTATTGAAACCAGTGACCAATCTGCTTTTTGAGCAGAAAATATTCAAAATAAAAAATCTTTGCTCCCTCAAATCATATGTATCTGTACCTTAGAGATGTATACAACCTTCCCTTTTTCCTATTGGGTTCCTATGCAAGGACCAATCCAAAAGGCAGTGAAGGAGAAAATGTGCTATTACAGAGCAGACCACACATATAGTTGGGTACATGGCCTAGCAGATGCTAGAATTATTTGTCAATTAGCATTTGGTTATATACATGTATCTGAATAGTAAGCTCATCTTTGGAATGATCCAGGATTCCCACGTGCTTGTCATCCAAAAACACCTGCCAAAGAAGAAGAAAGTACTGTTAGGTCCTCATAAGCAAAAACAAACAAACAAACAAACAAACAAACAAAAACGGAAACAGACTTGAAAAGACAAACATCAGAAATAATGAATTTTGTCTCCCAGAAATCTATAAGCTGATCATAAGTTCACAAAAACAGATTATATGTAATGTAGAACAGTGTTGAGATACTCGAGATGAGGTCTATTCAATAGTGTCCTGATATGGAATATGGGCCCTAGCTCCACTGCAGGATGTAGAGGGGGAAAAAATCAAAAAGATCTGAAGATTAGTGGGAAAATAAAGTAGATAACAAATCAGTATTGTGATGGAAATGATGGCAAAGGGAGAGCAAGAGAATTAGAGAAACAGCAACTGTTCTGTCAGAGTGCCTTTCCCCAAGGGTTCAACTCTGCAATAGACCCAGTTTTGCCAGATGAACCAGATTCTTATCTAGAAGATTAGAAAATCTGCTGCCATACTCTACCTGGTTTTAGAGATCATCTATCTCTTTTCTATTACCTATCATATTGTTCAGCCTTAGATTAATAAGTCAATCAGAAGAATCCACTGTAGCCATATAAGACCAAATAAGGACAAATAATTTTGCTTTTTATATTATTTAAATTAAACCACAAATTTTCAAATGAGATTTGATTAGGAAGAATAATAAAAATTCACAAATATTAAAAACAAAAAATATTAATGCTAAAAAATGCATAATTCACATTTTAATCTTGGAGTTTAAGGTTTATATATCTTATGACCATTTATTGAACAACTACTGTTGAACTAAATATTTCCATAGGGAGGAGTTCATCTAGGTTAAAATAAAGCTGGCCATTGAGGAACCCAAGGAACTACACAAAGAAATGATCAGAACACAATGATAGTGGCAACCATAGAGTCACTGAACTAGTGGACAGACTACTGTGGAACTAATGAGAAAGGAATGACAGATCCTAAACAGCAGCAGACCCCAAGCTACTTCACAGGCATGGTGATGGGTGAATCATGGAATTAAAGGATGACTGTAAGAAGAGAAGTAGCCATGATGAGACTTTTACCTGAGAGAGAAAACACTGACAGCACTATGTGTTCAGCAAGGAAGAGGTCAGAGGATGAGAGCAAGCAGTCTGAAATAGTAAGAGATATTGTGACATTCCAATAGGAGATGTGAAACACAAGAACAAGTCTAATGCAATAACAGTCTGTATATTAAAAGAACAACTGAATAATACTGAACCACACAGGGACCATTTGAAAATAAGTAATAAAGAAAAGCAGTAAAGAGAACAAGAGAACAATATTTGAAGGTTGAGAGGATGTGAGTATATAAGCCAATATGAGGCTTAGTTAGGAAGATAGTGAGTTTTGCTTTGGATGTGATGAATTTGAAAATTATGGAACATACACTGTAAGGATAAATGTACAGGAAACAGTAAGAAATATGGTCTGTAGCTAAAGATAGGGAGGGGAAGGCTGAAGACACAAAATAGAAGTAGAGGTTGAATATCCCTTTTCTGAAGTCTTGAGGACCTGAAGTGTTTCAGATTTTGGATTTTTTTTTTTTTTTTGCTGTTAATACTTTCATAGACTGTGCAAGTTGGACATACCTAATCCAAAAATCCAAAATCTGAAACTTTTTGAGCATCATATTGGCACTCAACAAGCTTTGAATTTCTGAGTACTTCAGAGTTTGGATTTTCTAACCTTGACCTATAATTGACCTATACTGGAAGTCTGGGAGGAAGATGATATGAAAAGTATGACAGCAAGAAAATTTCACAATGCTTAGAGAAAACAGCTCTTAACTTGAAGCCATGTGATGAAGGCTTCAGTTGCAGTTCTGCAGCTTTCTAGTTGAACAGCTTTTGAAAGTCATTTAGTTTCTCTGAGTATTATGGTTTGGGTCTGGAGTGTACCCCAAAGGCCCATTAACTAAAGTCTTGGCCCCCAATCTGTGCTGCTATTGGGAACTAATAGAAAATTTAGGAGATAGGAAGTTAGGACATTTGGGATTACCTCTTCTGCCCTCTCTATTTGCCTCCTGGTCACCATAAGGTGAGCAGCTTTCTTCMACCATATGTGTCTGCCATGATGTTCTTCCTTACTACAGGCACAAAGCAACAGAACCAGGCAACATGGACTGAATCTTTTGAAACTAAAATAAATCTTTCTCCCTTTTAAGCCCATTTTCTTATGTATACGTTCATGGCAAAATAAATCTAACATGCTGAGGTTTCCTTGTTTGTAACAAATAACTCAGTTGTTTTAAGAGTTGAATGAGAACAACAACTGTAATATGCAATGGGAATATTAAGGATTGATATAAAATAAGTATAGGGACTATGTAAGTTCTTTATAAAACACTATCAGGAGAAAAAAAAACATTAAAAAAAATCATCAGCTCCTATAAGTTTTAGTGGTACAATTCCCAGGGGTATCTGGGAATTGTATCTCAGACACACACTAGTCTATATATAAAAGATTTCAAGGAAGGAACAGATGCTAAGAAAGAGTTGAAGGTTAAAATGGTTTACCCCACCATTTAGACATTCACCCTCAGGAACACAGTTTGTTAGTGATAACAGATGAGCATAACTAGAACCCCTTCATGGCACCCTACCTGACCCCGATCTTGAACATGGCCCTTTGAGGTGAGGATGCCATCCCTGGAAATGGCAGTCTCATAAAGCGTGTAACCATAGGATTGACCACTTCCTTCATTCACAGATAGCTGTTCCATGGTGAGTGGCTTGACAGACTTGGTTGGCTGTCGCAAAGACAGGAAAAAAAAAAAAAAAAAACAGGCTGAAGGTTCAGGCTGTAGAGAAAAATCTCAGAAACTGCCAAAGCCCAGTTCTCCAAAGGAATGACCCCCACAGCCTCGCAAACAGAACAATCCAAAAGGAATATGAGAGGATACTCAGGTTTATATGCAGCATATAAATTATCCTTCTTGTTTACTAAACAAACCTCATATTTCTTTGCATTTACTAGCCAATGAGTTATTCTTATATTTTGAATGAAAGAGCTGCAGTCAAGAAGAGAGAGTGATTTGTGGGCCTTCCTCATTAATTCATGGTAGAGTCTGGACAAGACTTCTGGTCCCCAGAATTCCTACCCAGCTGTGCCAGATTATGTCTACTGTTGGCCTTCTCTTCTTTTCCCTTTTTGCATCTTTTAGGAGAGATTGTTCTAGCTCACACTTTAATTGTCCACACTTCTTCATAAAACTGCTTTTTCTAGTACCAATCTAGAGTGCTCCAAGGCTATTTACCCTCCTGTCTACTAGACTTCTCCATCTGGAGGTCCATGAATGTTTTCCATGCAATATTATCCAAATTGTAGGCACCATGACATATATACACCCTGTTCTCTTTCCTTTAAAAAAGAGGATCACCATCCATCCAGTCAAAAATGCATAAAGCATGGAGAGTGTCCTCTCTCTTTTTCTTCCTTCCTCTCCACATCCTATATATCAGACAGTCATCACCTACTTTAGAGTCTGACTTTAAATGTCTATTTCCCTAACCCTCCTTCTTCACACCTATCACCAAGCTCAAGTTCAGTATACTTCTATATGGTTTAAGTGTTCTAGCATGGTCCCACCCTAAGCTGTACCCTGCAGAACTATCAAATTCTTCTGACATGCAGAAGAAACTCCTAGATTTGCTTTATGATGGATTCTCATAGCTTCCAGAGAAATTTTCAAACTTCTTAGCACACAGAAATGGCCCTATGGGGAGAAGAGATGAAAATGGGAAAGACAGTAGAATGAATTGGACATAACTTTCCTATGTTTATATATCAATACAAGAACAGTGTAACTCCACATCATGTGCAACCACAAGAATGGGAAGTTAGGGGCTGGAGTTGGAGCTCACTGGTAGAGTGCTTGCCTGGCACATGCGAAGCACTGGGTTCAATTCTCAGCACCACATATAAATAATAAAAACAAAGGTCTGTAAACAACTAAAATATATTAAAAAAAGAATGGAAAGTTATACTCCATGTATGTATGATATGTCAAAATACATTCTACTATCATGTATAACTAAAAAAAAAAACAAATAAAAAAAGAAATGGCCCTTATGAACTTCTTGGAGAAATACTGATTATTCTAGGTCTCTGGAGCCATATAGTCTAAAACATCTAGAGGGACCAAAAAGCAAAGAAGATATCAAAAGCTATGGGAATCACATCAAGAGGACATAAAGCCAATTTGAAGGGCTCCTGCTGGGCTAAGATGGGATAGTTTGAGCATCAAAAAGAAATGCAATAGGGTGGAAAATTGGTAAATGTGTTTTAAAAAAAATTATGAGTTTATAATCATACAAAGAACATTAGAAAAACAACTCACTTGCTAACTTTGGAGGATATGTAGGAAAAAATCATTTTTCTGATAAAAAGAAAATACTTGAACTTTTGTCCTGATGTTTCTATTTAAACTACACTTCAGAATAAGATAATTGATGAAGAATTGAGTTCTTCTGTTATAAGAATTCAAGTGAGTAAATGCAGAAGGAATTTCAGAATTAGAATAATACCATTTTCAAGGCCTATAATGAAATATTGGTTTAATTTATCAAGACATGACTTTCATCTATTCCTTACTATTACCTCCCTATCCCTTACAGTATTATTTTAAAGCAGATAGCATAGGATTTCAAATAGTTCAATGAACATCTCAAAAAATTAGAACTCTTAAAAAAATACAAAATCATCATCACAACATGTAATAAATACAATTTGTCACAAATGTAATAAATACAATTCCCTAAATTTAGTGATTTTTCTGGAAAACATTTAGCAATTGTCTTTCTGGAAAACAAAACCCAATGATTTGTAGTGTTTGCAATTTCTGTGGTGTAAATATTCCCACCACAAGAATTTTTAATGCGGGGCTGGGGATGTGGCTCAAGCGGTGGCGCGCTCGCCTGGCATGCATGCGGCCCGGGTTCGATCCTCAGCACCACATACAGACAAAGATGTTGTGTCCGCGGAGAACTAAAAAAAAAATAAATATTAAAAATTCTCGGCCCGCGCCCGCCGCCATGTGACGGGAAGCAGCTGATGGCCTCTCCGGGTGGCGGCSGGCGCGGCAGCGGCGGGGCCGGGGAGGGGGCCCGGGCCGGGGCCGGCGCGGGGGTGGGCGGCGCGGGGGCGGCATGAGGGCCAGCGGCCCGGGGGGCTGAGGCGCCCGTCGCCTGCCGCGAACAGCGCGCGTCCTCCATGGAGGCCGGAGAGGAACCTCTGCGGCTGGCAGAACTCAAGCCCGGGCGCCCCCACCAATTTGATTGGAAGTCAAGCTGTGAATCCTGGAGTGTCGCCTTCTCCCCAGATGGCTCCTGGTTTGCCTGGTCTCAAGGACATTGCATCGTCAAGCTGATCCCTTGGCCACTGGAGGAGCAGTTCATCCCTAAAGGGTTCGAAGCCAAAAGCCGAAGCAGCAAAAATGATACAAAAGGACGAGGGAGCCCAAAGGAGAAGACACTGGACTGTGGTCAGATTGTTTGGGGTTTGGCCTTCAGCCCGTGGCCTTCTCCACCCAGCAGGAAACTCTGGGCAAGCCACCACCCCCAAGTGCCAGACATCTCTTGCCTGATCCTTGCCACAGGGCTTAATGATGGACAGATCAAGATTTGGGAGGTGCAGACAGGGCTTCTGCTTTTGAATCTTTCTGGCCACCAAGACGTTGTGAGAGATCTGAGCTTCACACCCAGTGGCAGTTTGATTTTGGTCTCTGCATCACGGGACAAGACTCTTCGCATCTGGGACCTGAATAAACATGGTAAACAGATTCAGGTGTTATCAGGTCACCTCCAGTGGGTTTATTGCTGCTCCATCTCCCCTGACTGCAGTATGCTGTGCTCTGCAGCTGGAGAGAAGTCGGTCTTCCTCTGGAGCATGCGGTCCTACACACTAATCCGGAAGCTAGAAGGCCACCAAAGCAGTGTTGTCTCCTGTGACTTCTCTCCAGACTCTGCCTTGCTTGTCACAGCTTCTTATGATACCAACGTGATTATGTGGGACCCCTACACTGGCGAGAGGCTGAGGTCACTCCACCACACCCAGCTTGAGCCTGCCATGGATGACAGCGATGTCCACATGAGCTCCTTGAGATCCGTGTGCTTCTCTCCTGAAGGCCTGTACCTTGCGACAGTGGCAGACGACAGGCTCCTCAGGATCTGGGCCCTGGAGCTGAAGGCTCCCGTGGCATTTGCTCCCATGACCAATGGACTTTGCTGCACGTTTTTTCCACATGGTGGAGTTATTGCCACAGGGACAAGAGACGGCCATGTCCAGTTCTGGACTGCTCCTAGAGTCCTGTCCTCACTGAAGCACTTATGCCGGAAAGCCCTTCGAAGTTTCCTAACAACCTACCAAGTCCTAGCACTGCCAATCCCCAAGAAAATGAAWGAATTCCTCACGTACAGGACTTTTTAAGCAATGCTGCACATCTTGTTTTCTTGTAGCAGAATAAATCTTCCCAGCAAAGGAATAGCTGGAATAATGGGCCAAACATCTGGTCTTGGGTTKAAATAGAAATTCTTTGGGATTGTGAAGAGAATGTAGCAGACTAGATCCCAATGGACTGGTCATGGGTCATCTTCTCCATGGCATGTGTGAGCCAATCTTAGAGGAGGAAATCCCACTTCTGCAGTGACAGAGCCTTACTTTAAGTCATGAGTCCACTTGTGAAAAGCAAATATTGAGCTCCTTGTAGTCATTTTGATTCAAAGTGCAGTTATTAATGTTTTGATGATTCAAGTAGGCCGCTAGAGCCGCTCCTTAGTGGTGGCAAGGTTTACGTGCCCTCAGCTGGGATGTGAGCTGCGTAGCATACTCATYCTTGTTCCCAGTACAGTGGTGGCATGGTTTAACGTCCCCTCCTGCTGTGCTCAGAGCTGCTTTGACATTGGCAAGTTACCTCCCTCAGGCTCCCTCTGATCAGCAGGACCAAGTTTCCATGGAGCACTTGGTATAAGGTGTTACCTGAGTAACAGGCGAAATCAGAGGCTGTGCTCCTGACTGATAACAAACACTATTATTGGCTGTTTCTTTTATTTTTTTTTTTTTTAAAACAATGGTGTGCATGTGCAGGAGATGACAAATTTGTATGTCAGATTATATGAGGATGTGTTCCTAAATGCATGACTGTTCAAATGGCTACTGAGTTGTCAGTTGTTGGCCATTTATTAGCATCATATTTATTTGTATTTTCTAAACAGATGTTAAGGTACAACTGTGTTTTTCTCAATGGTATCTAAAAACCAGAGTACTGAAATGGAACAGTAGTGAAGATGTGTCTTCGTTGTGTAAAGAACTGGTGTTGTCAGCACTTCAGCTTATACTCTATGTACAACATCTGTCTTTGCTGCTTGACCTCATCAGACTTATTAGTCAGTTTCAACTACCCAACAAAAATAGCTCCTTAAAAGTACTGTTCTCCCTCAGTGGCATGTACCTATCTAATCAAAACACCTTATTCCGACAAAATCTGCCTTAGGAAAATCTAATATATTTTAAATTATTTTGAAAGAAATGCAACATCTTATTCTTTGGCTTTCTTAATTGATCCTTTATGGAGGCAGCGTAACAATGAGACAAGAGGAATCTCCTCTATCACCTTCATTGCTTGAAGAAAAAACATTTCAAAATAAGGCTTTCATTGAAGAAAAAAGCAAAAACAAAAAAAAAAATTCTCTCTCTCTCTCTCTCTCTCTCTCTCTCTCTCTTTAAAAAAAAAAAGAATTTTTAATGCAATATTTGTCAATGGCTGATAAAATCTTTGGGTAGAAGGTTGATGGGAAAATGAAAATGAAGAAAAGAAACTAACAACTCCTGAACTCACTGATCAATTATGAAACCAGAAACAACCAGCATTATGTGCCTAGAATACGATGCATAAAAAGTACAATAGCACCATTTACAAAGTATACTTGTAAACAGATTTTTTTTTAAAAAAACCTAACTTAAATCCCATCAAGCATTTAGATCTAACTACCTATCAAACTGAGATATAGATAATGTGAGTCTAGAAACGTGTTACTTGACATAGTGGTGATCTAATCGGCAAAACAAAACTCATAACATAGGCAATTCTATAGTACAAATAAAATAAAAATTAAAAAATCTTTAGATTAAAGGAGACTAAAGAGACACATCAAATGATGTATAATAGACTTCATAAATGCTGACATGAACAAATCAATGCTAAAAAAGAAGTTCAAGATAATTGAGAAATTCAAGTACTGGCTATTTTATTATTTTAAACTATGGTGTGTTAGAGATAACTTGTATGAGCTTGTTACAACCACCCATGGATGTACCTTCCCAGCCTGTGATCAGCATCATCATATTAACAGTCTGAAATTAACCATGGTGGGAATATTTCCCCACCAGAAATCAGCAAACGCTATGAACCGGCTTTTAATTCCAAGCCAGTTGCTAAACATTTCCCAGAAAATCAATAATTCTAAGGAATTAATATTGTCATTATTATTAAGGATAATAATGATTTTGTTGCTTTTATTAAAAAAGAAACATCTTTTGGTATACATATTGAACTATTTATAGCTGGAGTTGGATAAGTCTGGGATCTGCTTTAAAATAACCTTGTAAAAGGTAAGGGGAGAGGAGGAGAGTATAGGTGAAATAAGATTAGCCTTGTATTGATAAACTTGAAGCTGGGTGTTAGGTGCATGGGGATTCCCTACTATTCTCTCTACTTTTTAAAAACGCCATCAAATTACACAAAAAAACACACATCACAGTGGGGCATGGTGGCATATGCCTGTAACCCCAGTGACTTGGAAAGCTGGGGCAGGAGAATTGCAAGTTCAAGTTCAATCTCAGAAACTTAATGAGAACTCGTCACAAACTTTTTAAAAAATTAAAAGGTCTAGGGATGTGAATCAGTGGTAAAGACATACTTTCAATTTCACTCACGTATACACACAAATCGAGACATTAACTGCTGAATCCATATAGAATCTGATGAGGTAAGAACAATTAAGAGCCTTATTTTATAGATGAGGAAACTTAGGTAGAGTGAGGTTAAATGACCTCCCTAAGGTCTCATAGCCAGTGAATGTTGGAGCAAAGACTCAACTCAGTGACTCCAGTGTTTGTACTCCTTCGCACAGCATGTTCCCTTGACAACACTGTGCTGCCTCATTTCCTCTTCCATGTGACCTATGACCCTACAATTGCTTCTTTATTCATTTTTCTTACTCATTAGACTGGGAGTTGCCTAAAACATCATCTTAACAATATAGTTCCCAAAACATGAATATTCAATGAGTGTTATAGGAATTAGTATTCAGTTTTTCCCTAACTCATTTTTCTTTGATTTCTAATCAAAGAAAGGTTTCCTATCTGAATTGTAAAATTGGTAGAAGGAACCAACACCTTTAAGGATTCCTTTTTTTTCCCTTATTCATTTACTCCATGTTATTTCAATTCTCTCTCTTTTTTCCAAAAAATTTTCCATGTGTCTATGCCCAGGAAATGCTCACCAAGTCCAGGTAGGGAAGCAKGTTCCACAGTGTCATGAAGTATAATAGTGTCACTGACTTATAGGCATTCTTTGGTATGTAATTTAGTGGGAGGGGCATAGGAGCTGCTGCAATGAGAAAACACAAAGTTGGATCATTCCAGGACCCCCTCCCAACCCAAATCAAAGACACTAGATACCCTGCTATCCCAAAGCCATCAAGAATAAAGGGCCCAGTCACGGCATAACTTCCTAATTTCAGAAGAATCAAAGCAGGAAATGATTAAGTAAGGGTCCTCTCATACCTTTAAGCTCTGAGACAAGTGCCTTGCTATCCTGGAAGAAGAAGGGGCACATCAATACCACCTGCTGAACCCAGCCTCCTAAAGTCCAATGGAAAATGCACATGCTCGCAGATTCCCCCACCTCCTTTCCCATTTCAACTAGGCCATATAACATACCTATATAATAGCTCTGAGAAGGACCTGGAACATCTGAAATTTAGAAGTTCAACAGAGGATTCCATGTACAACTAAGACCAAAGCAACATGGTCCTGTGCTGAACACCTTTATTCAAAAGATTTAAAATCAGCATACTACAGTGACAGAGTCACATCAATGTCTATAGCAGCACAATTCACAATAGCCAAGATATGGAGCCCAACCTAGGTGGCTTTCATCATATGAATGGATAAAGAAAATATAGCATGTATACACAAAGGAGTATTACACAGCCATGAAGAATAATGATGTTGTGGCATCTGTAATAAAGGGATGGAACTGGAGACTCTCATGTTAAAAAAAATAAGCCAGACCCAAAAGTCAAAGGTTGAATGTTTTCTCTGATATGCAGAAGCTAATCCAAAAGAAGGAGAGGATTAAAAACATAGAAGAAAGATCAGTGGAGTAGATAAAGGTGAATGAAGGGCAGGGTGGAGGGATGGATAGAGAAGGACAGTGGAAATGAATCTGACCTAACTTTTCTATGTATATATGAATATACCACAGTAAATCTCACCATCATGTATATCCACAAGACACTAATTTTAAAAATTTAAAATTAAAAAATTTTAAATGGCAGAAAGATCAGTAAAGTAGAAGGAGGAGAACAGAGGGAGAGAGAAGGAGAGGGAAAGAGGAAATACTGGGGCCTGAAGTAGAACAAATTATATTCCATGCTTTTACAATTATGTCAAAATGAATCCTAACGTTATATATAACTAAAAAGACCTAATAAAAATAGCAGCAGGCTCTATATCTTATGCATACTCCCAGTGCCTACTGATAAAATAAATTGTAGCAAATCAAACTTCTCTCCAAAATATGTTCACCCAGTCCCTCACTCCCTTCCTGCTTGAGAAGACTAAGTCACCATTCATATTGAGGTTGTTGCCGAGTACCTATAACAGACCGAAAAACCTCTTGAAATGTGGTATACTCAGGCGTGTAATCTCCATTCTCTCTCAGCAGTGCCCCATACTCTGAAAAATAAGAAAATTTTATTGTTTTCTCCAAGAAAGCCTCATTGTCATTTTCTTTCTCCAGAAAAAGAGGAGAGGTTGGTACTGAGCAAAAGATCCTTAATTCAGCAGCTTTGGGAGAAAAAAAAAAATAGGGGGCACTAGATAAGAAAATTCCACATCCCTGTTGTTCAAACTAAGAGACATCTGAAAAGCTTTGCAGGCTTTCAATAAGAGGCAAAAAGCCCCAGTCCATGAATCCCCCACTAAGCCCTGGTTGAGAGCCCAAGGCTCAAACCAATAGAGCCTACTGGTTTCTCCTTCTTATCCAATTTCTAAGTGAACTCCTTTGTTTCATTCACCCTTTCTAGGGAAGGTATCTTAGTAGACTTGTGTACTAGGGAAGACACATTAGTGGATACCCAAAGCAACTGGCTCTGGAGGGAACTTTTAAGACAAGGGTCTGTACAACAAATGAAGAAGATTAGGCTACTAACTTCTCTGCTTGCAAAGTCCCTGAGAGCCCAAATCCTCATGGTAGGTAAATTATAGTACTGTCAAGAAGAACAAATCCCTAATCCTCCATCCCCAACATGTTAATGGCAAAACAGGCAAACAGTTCCAGAGATTGTCTTTGGGGGCATAACCTAAGAAGCTTCAGTCTCCAATGTGGGGGTAGTCAATATTGAGGACAATTCTGAGATACAGGTACTTGCCATAGCTGGTGACAACAGGGTAATAACCATTCAAATGTTGAGCTCCACCCATGAAACCAAAGTTGGTGCCACCATGGAACATGTAGAAGCTGAGGGAGAACCTAAGCTTGAGCATTTCACGTACATCCTTAAGTAGCACTGCAGAGAGGCAGGAAGAAAAGGTAAAAAGGGGGAGTAAATTGAGTTTGAGAGAATTTATAGATCCTCATGGATATTCAAATCACCTAATCCTAAAATGTTCAAGGTCCACCATAATCTCAGACCCAGAAAATGTGTGAAGATGCATTCCAACCCATTCAATAAAGGATTCATGGATTATTCCCAGATTTGTTTTCATAACCCAAAGTCATTTATTATTTTTTTCTCTGGGTTCATGTTTGAGAGGATATTTTTTTCTAGCACAAACTGCACATATAAAATATTTGGTGTTGTGCCTTTTTGCCTCAGGTACATAAATGTCCAATTTATTGTTTCTGAAGGTCTTATTTCTAACTGTGATTGGTCTGAAATTATAGCACCTTTGAAATCCATTTTATTTTATTTTGGTAACAGGGATTGAACTCAGGGGTACTTGATCACTGAGCCACATCCCCAGCCCTATTTTGTAGTTTATTTAGAGACAAGGTCTCACTGAGTTGCTTAGTGACTCGCTTTTGCTGAGGCTAGCTTTGAATTCGCAATCCTCCTGCCTCAGCCTCCCAAGCCACTGGGATTACAGATGTGAGCCACCATACCTGGCTAGCTGAAATCCATTTTAATGATTATCAACAATTCTCCAGAGAGGACGGGCAAATCAAGATCAGATAATCAGAGGCCAGATAACTTCCTTCTTCCATCCAATTCCCCTTCATGCAATTCCCCTACTTGTTAGAACAACTCATTCTAATTACTTTTATAGCCTCAGTAAATATAATTAGAGTGAAAACTGTTATAACTTACATTTTAATTACAATGATATCTTTCATGTCCATGCTCTGTGGTCATTAATTATGTTGATGTTTATAAAGTTATGACATGTAGGAGTCTTATCTTCTAAATCTCAAATACACTAATTAGAAGAAATAAGCAAACAAACAGGTCCATGCCATCTGTATCACATGTTCTCCAGAGAAAGGAACTAAGGAATACTCACTATGTCCATCTGGAACGTGGCGGGCAACACCCCATGAGTCAAAAGAGTTCACTGTGTATACCATCATCATTATAGGACTATGACCCTGAGAAAAGTCAAGAAACAATTTAGAAAATGTTTATACAATTTAGAAGCTCTGAATTGCTAAGAAGGAAATTGTAAAGTCCAGTTCTCACACCTCTTTGCAACTCAGAACATTCTATCACTGCTCACAAACTCTGAGTTCTATTCTCCCATTCTCATATCACTTTCCTGTTCTGTTATTCCTCTTGTGATTTCACTGGTCATCTTACTTAAGGTTTAGTAAAATTAATTGCCATTCCAACATAGCTCTTTCTGGAACATTCTAGAAATAGAATCTGAAAACTTCTAGAAATAGAGTTTTCTCATTCTCTTCAATGATCACAGTAGAGGTCTAGTAAGGAAATAACTGATACAAAGGAAGCACTGAATGTTCAACAAATGAATACTGAAAATGGTGAATTCCCTTAAAAGAGAATTCCCCATTTGGGGTTTTGTGGATGTAGCTTAGTGGTAGAGTGCTTGCCTGGCTATTGAGGCCCTGGGTTCAATCCCCAGCACCATGAATGAATGAATGAATGAATGATAATAAGAATTCCCCAAACCTAGTATTCTCAAACATGTAAGTGCTCACTCTTCCCTTTCCATCATAGTGTGCCCTCTAGGTCCTTTATCTTTCCAGTTCCTGGCAATTTGCTAGCCTCTCTATTCTGGCTGCACTCTGTAGTTGACCCTTTGAATTCTGTTCCTTCTAGCACTATGAAGTTAATCTGTTTTTTTAATTTCTGCTGTCATTACTATCACAATCTCCAACTCTGGGACCCTTCAATTGGAACCCTCACACCTGAGCTGCCAATTTGATTTACCACAAATTCATATGGTTTGACCTTATCTTTATTTCTGCCTGGTGGTCTTTATATTTAGATTTTTAAAAAATTTTTTATTAAATTTCAAAATAGTCTCAATATTTTAAGGCTAATTAAACTGAGGCCAAATGGTTCAAGCTCTTGCAACCTCCTCTTAATTTCACAAGATCCCCAAATCATATAATCTTAGCACTTCGTGAACCCTACAAATACTTAAAATCTTTGCCCTAAAGGTGATGGTATTAAGAGGCTGAGCCTTTAGTAAGTGATTTCATGGAAAGAATTAGTGCCCTTATGAAAAGAGGCCTTAGAGAGCTGCCTTGCCTATTCACAGAAAAAGATGCCATATAAGAACCAGGAAATAGCTTTCACAAGATATCAAATCTTCCACCATTCTGAGCTTGGATTTTTCAGCCTCCATAACTATGAGAAATAAGTTTTTGTTGTTTATAAGCTTCACTATTTGTGATATTTTGTTATAGTTCTCCAAGCAGAATGAGACTCATAGTTTTTACATTAGAAAGACTTTTTAAAATTCCAGTTTTTAGTATATTATTTCTCACTTCACATAGGCATGGTCTTCTCTAAATATTGGACCAAGCTTTGTTATTGTAATGATAAAGAATTCTTTGCTACTTAAGGCAGTTCATTTTTGGAGCAATCAGATTGTTAGAAATTATAATCCTTAATGAGCTAATATGGGTTTTTCATTAATTTTTGGTGTCATTGAAACTAATTTCGCTCTATGGAACTAAAAAGAATTTCCCTTTCACATATGAAAATAAACTTTTAAGATGCCCATTAAATGAATCTTATCTTTAAAGTGAGACTCATTCCTTGTTCTTTTAGTTTATCTTTACATAACCTCTAAACCATGTCGCCTGGAAGTATTCCACTTTGTTAAAATGCAACCTAAGACATAATGACCTAAGCAGAAAAAAATACAAAAAAAAAAAAAAACAAATGCTTCAAATGTGTTCTTAAAGTATGAAGAAATGTGATGATATCATTTCTATCAATAAAACCTAAGTTTTAAGACCTATTGGCAGTAGGTGTCACGGACTTTATTTAGGTGAAACATAACTTCCAAAATATCTTTCATGCAACATAGTGTCAATAACAGATTGTTAAACTGATATTTTCCTTTCTGCATTTTGCCCATGAAGATTTCCTGCTTTTATTTTGTTTTGATTTTAATGTAAATATTGTATAACTAACTATTGCCTTTTGGTTTCAGCCTACTGAGATCCAGGAGATCCCACTGTTTTCCAGCACTCTCTCATCTGGACTAGCTCATCTTTTTTCTTTTCTTTTCTTTTCAGTACTGGGAATTGAACATTGAACCCAGTGCCTCACACATGCTGGACCAATGCTCTACTACTGAGGTATATACTGAGACAAGATCTAAGTTTCTCAAGCTGGACTTGACCTTGTTATCCTCCTGACTAAGCCTTTTGCATAGCTGGGTTTATAGATGTGTGCTACCGCGCTTGGTATGATTTGTCCATCTTTTTTTTTTTTAAGAGAATATCAATTTGAACAAAGGCAGCAAGAGAACATCCACACACAGTGAACAAACCTAGATATAGCTTCTACACAGCAAGGAATGTGTCTGTTTGACCAATATATACCTAGAACCTAATAAAAAACTGACTCAAAAACGAACAGTCAAAAAAAAAGTATTTAATCTAAATTTTTAAATTTAAAACCTCTAACATCATCGAGTTCAAGTTTTTGCTACCCTTTAACTATGTGGGATCTATCTTGTCTAATTTAGGGAAGAGTCTCTTTAATGGGAAACAGACACAAAAAAGTAGGGGTTAGTCTCTGTGTCCTCTATTCTGTATCATTGGTCTACTGGCCTGTTTTGGTACCAATACCATGCTGTTTTTGTTACTATTGACTGTAGTATAGTTTCAGTTCTGGTATAGTGATGCCACCTGCTTCACTCTTCCTGCTTAGAATTGATTTAGCTATTCTGGGTCTCTTATTTTTCCAGATGAATTTCATGATTGCTTTTTCTATTTCTATGAGGAATGCCATTGAGATTTTGATTGGAATTGCTTTGAATCTGTATAGTGCTTTTGGTAGTATGGTCATTTTGATAACATCAATTCTGCCTATCCAAGAGCAAGGTAGATCCTTCCACCACAAAATTAGAATTATCTTATATTGGACAAAAGTGCCAAAAACATGCACTGGAGAAAAGATAGCCTCTTCAACAAATGGTGCTGGGAAAACTGGAGATCTATATGCAACAAAATGAAATTAAACCCCTATCTCTCATCATGCACAAAACTTAACTCAAAATGGACCAAGGACCTAGGAATTAAACCAGAGACTCTGCATCTAATAGAAGAAAAAGTAGGCCCTAATCTTCATAATGTGGGATTAGGCCCCAACTTCCTTAATAAGACTCCTATAGCACAATAATTAAAACCAAGAATCAATAAATGGGATGGAATCAAACTAAAAAGTTTTTTTTTCTCAGCAAAAGAAACAATCGGTGAGGTGAACAGAGAGCCTACATCCTGGGAGCAAATTTTTACCCCTCACACATTAGATAGAGCACTAATCTGTAGGGTATATAAAGAACTCAAAAAGCTAAACACTGAAAAAACAAATAACCCAATCAACAAATGGACTAAGGACCTGAACAGACACTTCTCAGAAAAGGAGATACAATCAATCAACAAATATAGGAAAAAATGCTCATCATCTCTAGCAGTCAGAGAAATGCAAATCAAAACTACTCTAATTTATCATCTCATTCCAGTCAGAATGGCAGCTATTATGAAGACAAACAACAATAAGTATTGGCAAGGATATAGGGGAAAAGGTACACTCATACATTGCTTGTTGGACTGCAAATTGGTGCAGCCAATATGGAAAGCAGTATGAGATTCCTTGGAAAACTGGGAATGGAACCACCATTTGATCCAGCTATCCCTCTCCTTGGTCTATACCTAAAGGACTTAAAAACAATATACTACAGGGACACAGCCACATCAATGTTTATAGCAGCACAATTCACAATAGCTAAACTGTGGAGCCAACCTAGATGTCCTTCAGTGGATGAATGGACTAAAAAATGTGGCATATATATACAATGGAATTTTACTCAGCATTAAAAAAGAACCAAATCATGGCATTTGCAGGTAAATGGATGGCGTTGATAGTAGATAGAAGATAATGCTAAGTGAAGTTAGCCAATCCCAAAAAAAACAAATGAGGAATGTTTTCTCTGATATAAGGAGGTTGACTCATAGTGGGGTAGGGAGGGAGAGCATGGGAGGAATAGATGAATTCTAGATAGAGAAGAAGGGTGGGAGGGAAAGGGAGGGTGCAGGGGATTAGCAAGGATAGTGGAATGTGATGGACATCATTATACAAAGTACATGTATGAAGACTTGAATTGGGTGTCAACAAACTTTATATACAGAGATACAAAAATTGTGGTATATATGTGTATTAAGAATTGTAATGCAAAAAAAACCAACAAAGTGCATGTATAAAGACATAAATTGGCATGAACATACTTTATATACAGAGATATGAAAAATTGTGCCCTATATGTGTAATAAGAATTGTAATCCTTTCCACTGCTGTCGTGTAGTTAAATAAATAAATAAATAAATAAATAAGTAGGGGGCTCAAAAGCTTTGCTTTTTCCTTATATTCATTTAATACTACATCTGCCCCTAAAACTGTGTTTTGTATGTTCACTTTTTTAGTCAAGTATAAGAAATGCACTGAAAAAAAAAGTAACAGTGGACTTTCTATAGCTGTGGGGTATGGACCTGGTAATGTGGGCATGTGATTTTGATTCAGTTGAACCTAAAACCACCTAGAATAGGCATTCTAGGGCACAAATGATTAAACTTTTAACTGAACCAACTCAGTTTTCTGCTGAGAATTTCCCTATCAGTTTGTATCTCTGAAATGTCCTTACCTGAACTGAAGAAAGTTCTTTGTAAGTTCCTTTATGTATATTCTTCATGTGGAGAGTGACCAGCACTGTGGTGGGAAAGGAGAAACAGTGCATAAAGTCTTGCTATGGCTTGATTGAGAACCTAGAGTTTGTCACAATCTCTCCACCAAGGTCCCCAAACTGCAGAAGACATACTAACAGAAATAGACTAGAGAGCTGGGTTCAGCACCTCCTATGTATACAAGTTTCAGACACTTCATTTGGTGACTAGCAATAAAGATATAACCCACACATGCAATATACAAAGGGTTTTTAAAGAAATCTCTTCACTTAGCAGGTATAGAGAATTTAAAGTAACAAGTGCAATTTAAATAAACCACCATGTGATGCTGATGAATAGTCAGGCTGAATGAAAAAATTCATCTCAGAGAGATGAATCACCTAAGACCCAAAACTTGACTCTAGGACACTTAACCTCTTTTGGGGACTGGAGGAGGTGCTTGGGATTGAGCCAAAGGCCTTGCTAATATTAAGTATGTACTCTATCACATAGGGGCACACCCTTATACTTTTTTTTCATCTCCATTTGTGTGTTACTTTTATGCATTGTCCTGCATATCAACCTGTGTTTGCTCCTTGTAATTTATATCCCTCCCAACATTTTTTTTTTTTTTCCGGCTGTGTTAGTGATTAAGCCCAGGATGCTGCACATGCTAGGCAAGCACTCTATTGCTCAGCTACATCTACAGCACCCCCACTGCTTTATTTTATGAATTTATTTACCCTACCAGCTCCCAAGGCCAGGTTCACAGCATTGCTATTTTTGATATTCATCTGCTCCTTGTTTCTCAATTAAGAGTGATTTGACAGCATTGGAAATAACCTTTACTCTGATCCCAGTCAGAACCCCTTCTGGACTACCAAGGGATTGAGGAAGATGAAGTAAGTGTTCTGTGTTATGCTGCTCTGGGGGTAACAACTGGTGGAACAGGAAGACAGGGCCTGGATTCCTATTATAGTTTAGATAAGAGGTATTCCCCCCGAAACTCTTGTGTTAATGCAGAAATATATGTAAAATGATTGGATTATGAGATGTAACCTAATAAGTCCCTCTTAGTTTGAATGGACTGACTGGGTGGCAGCTGTAGGCAGGTGGGGCATGGTTGGAGGAGGTGGATAACTAAGGGCTCTCCTGGAAGGGTTCATCTTCTTTGAGGGTATTTCCTCTTTCTGTCTTTGCCTCCCAGCTGCCATGAGTAGAGCATTGCTTCTTCTACCATGATATCCATCATGTCCTGCCTTATCTTGGGCCCAGAGCAATGAAATCAGCCAACCATGGACTGAATGTCTGAAACTGTAAGACCCAAAGAAGCTTTTCCTTCTCTAAGGTTGTCGGGGTTTTTTTGGTCACAGCAGCAAAAAGCTGATTAACATGCTAACTCAGCTTTGACCTCAATTTCCCACCATTTTCACCTAAAGACCATGAGACTTCCTCATAGGAGATGGAAATGATGAAGCACCAGAAGGACTCTTGCTCTTTCAGAAATGTCTACTGGAAAACACAAGGTGAAACCAAAACTGTACCATTTTTTATGCGGCCTTTTCCCAGCACTCGTCCACTATCAGCAGTCATGAGAAGCACCTCGACCTTTCTTTTCTCCAGGGCCTAGGAATGAATTCAGAAAGACAAACAGACTTTTCCTGGGTCCATGGTATTGTTTCTTTTATAGAAAAAAATACTAGAATGAGGCTGAAACATGGAAAAGAAAGTCTAATTCTTCAACCAACTTCTTATAAGTTAGAAATTTAAAACAGAAATATTGTCTCTGCCTCAGTCACACTCAGCAAAGTCAAAGTGACAACTATAAGTTCATAGAAGAGGCAGTGGAATTATTTCACGTAATACAGTGCTTTCTCTAAGGACTTAAATTCTGGATTTTCTCAGTATGTCAGAGCTTAAAGTAAACATTCTTGTCCTTACTGTCATCCAAATTAACCATGTGTCATGGGCCAAATTCACCCGTGCCTCTGCTATTTTCCTTCCGTCAATGGGCAAAGACAGTAAGTTGCTGCTAAATCCATCCATAGTCACTTTGCTGCATCAGCCCTTAATGTTCCTACATTAACTAGAAACAGTGCTAGGGAGATTCTAAATCAAAGACAGCAAGAAACAAGGGATTTATCTAATTCAGGGGTAAAAAACTAAGACTGTGGCCATGGATACTAAGAAAAGCCAAAGGTGTGTTTTGTCTTTTGGACTAAAACATCCTGAAAGAGAAAATATTCTTGAAATTTACCCTTAAACCCTTTACTGGGTCCTATGAATTGGTGTCCTTTGAAAAATAGGTGAGGCAAAGAAGTGACTCATGTGAGAAGAGACAGTATGTCATCTATCAGTTACTGTTATCCTACTCCATCTTCTGTAGATACTATGAGAATGCAGTACTTCATCTCTAGCCCTAGTGAGCAACATGGCTTACTGGCAGATGACCATATAACATACTGAAACTAGAAAACGTGATACTGAAAGGTGACAGCAATTATTCTAGCATCCTGTGGATGTCCTGGACAAAACCAAGAGACATGATTCATAACTCATAGGGATAGAAAAAAATTCTACGTCTATATCCAATGAACCTTCCTTCTAATAACAACTGGACAAGCTGGACAAGGTATTTTCTAAAGACTTATTTGGAGATGCTACATAGATATGTAAGGTAGAATATGAGGAGCCCAGATCCTGGAGAGAAAGAAAGCTTTCTTTTTGGTATTGCTTTTCCCATGAGATAGTGGCTCATTCCTAAAGTTTCAGTTGAGAATCTGAGAAATTTAGAAGGGTTGCCAGCAGTATAGTATTATAAGACTTGGAGAAAGAAACTGCAGTTTGGAGACTACCCCACAGTAGAGGAACCACAAAAAATCCTAGGCTTCCTGCCAAGACCAGAAGAGCAATCCCCTAAAAAAAAAGGGTGAAGGAGAATTCCTTTTCACAAGGATATCTTAGTTTGAAATCATTGTAAATACCTGCCAGAAGCAAAAATGAATCAATCTCAGGGATGACAAAAGGCCTCAAATGATCTTATAAGCTAATGTCTGATATCGAATAAAAAAGTGACTAGGTTGAAACCATAAGAAAAATTACAAAGGAAACAGGTCCTTATGAGATTTGATCTTAGATTAATTATTAGACATAAGTTTTGAAATAGATGCCATTAATGTGTTCACGGAATTAAAAGAAAAACTGAGAAGTCTTGGCAAAGAAATAGAAATAAAATAATCAAACAAAATCAGAAAATCATACCTTTATTGGTTGGTGCTTTGTGATACTAAAGGACCAAACATGATTGGTCCTTTTACTGGGTTCCTTATACTGCTTGGGCAGATAAACAAGTTTGTACTAGATAAGGTCTTTCAAGGAAATTTTATCTAATATACATAGTGATTTAAGACATATACATTCAGGGAACTAGGTGATTAACATGATCCTACCTGGTACAAGAGAGATTTGATTTAATAAACACTGATTTTCTCTTTGTAAATAGAGACAATATCCCCTCTACTGGGAATCCAAAGATAATGTAGGCCTCAGGCTTATGTGCATATTTTAAAGTCATCAAGCATTCTTCAACTACAGTCAGGTATATCCCAAGGAAGATGCTTCAGTTTGAGAAAGAGGAAAAAGAAATTTAAAACGTCTCTTTTTCCTCTTCTTATTATCTAGAAAATATAAATATATTTATGTTTTATAGTACTATTCTATAATTTTTATTGGTTAGATACAGTGTGATTTTTACTATTGAGGCAAGACAAAGAGTTAAAACAGGCGGATAGGAAACTTGGGTCCCTCCAAGATCAAGTGTCTGTGTAGCAGTGCTGAGAAACTACAGACATAAAAATTCAGGTCTAATGAAGATAGGCAAATTCCTGTATAAGCAGGAAAACTGTTAGTGAGATTATAGCTTGCTTAGTGCATGGATCCCATCCAAAAAAAAAAAAAAAAAAGGCATGGTAACGTGATTGGACGAAAGGGTGTGTGAAAAGCTTTTGGACACGGAGTTCCTTACCCAGGATTGGGTCATGACTAGCTTCTTTCACCCTGTAGATTCACATAAATCCCTAGAAAATAGACACCCACCAGCAACACTTTCTTGGGACCAATCCCCCTTTGGGAATTCTGATTTTTTTGTTATTGTTGTTGTTGTTCCTGGGGATTGAACCCAGGGTTGCTTAACCACTGAACCAGTATCCAGCCCTTTTTAATATTTTATTTAGAAACAGAATCTCACTAAGTTTCTTAGGGCCTCGCTAAGTTGCTGAGGCTAGCTTTGAACTCGCAATCCTCCTACCTCAGCCTCTTGAAGCACTGGGATTATAGGCGTGCACATGGCTCTGCTACCTTTCTATTGCTCTTATGATTCCTGTTATTTTGCTCTCACCCTTGTGTCCATGGATCTCATTCTTCAAATTCATGAGACAAAAAACCCACCCAGTCCTGCTCGGTGCTGCATCTTTTGGGGGCTCCTCCAGGATCTATGGAAGAGTGAGTAAAATGGACCAATGATTCACTGCCTTTTCTGGTAGCCCTAAGCTCCATTCAAATGTTTAGTCCTCTTGCTCTGAAATTATGGCATCTGTCAGTCACTTAAGCTTCTTCATAGCAAAGGAAACAATCAAGAATGTAAAGAGAGAAAGCCTACAGAATGGGAGAAAATCTTTGCCACCTGCACCTCAGATACATCAGGATATATAAAGAACTCAAAAAACTTAACACCCAAAACCAAATAACCCAATCAATAAATGGGCAAAGGAACTGAACAGGCACTTCACAGAAGAATTAACGACAGGTCAACAAATGTACAGAAAAATGTTCAACATCTCTAGCAGTTAGATAAATGCAAATTAAAACTATCACGAGATTTCATCTCACTTCAGTCAGAATGGCAATCATCAAGAATACAAGCAACATGGGGCTGGGATTGTGGCTCAGTGGCAGAGTGCTTGCCTAGCACATGTGAGGCACTGGGTTCTATTCTTAGCACCACATAAAAATAAACAAAATAAAGGCATGCTGTCCATCTACAACTACCAAATTTTAAAGAAAGAATACAAGCAACAATAAATGTTGGCAGGATATGGAGGGGAAAGGTACACTCATACATCGCTGTGGGACTGCATATTGGTGCAAACACTATGAAAAGCAGTATGGAGATTCCTAAGAAAACTTGGAAAAGAACCACCATTTGACCCAGTTATCCCACTCCTCAGTTTATACCCAAAGGACTTAAAATCAGCATACTAGTGATGCTACCACATCAATGTTTACAGCAGCTCAGTTCACAATAGTTAAACTATGGAATAGCCTATCAGCCCTTCAACAGATGAATGGATAAAGAAAATGTGGTACATTTACACTCTGCCATAAAGAGAAATGAAACTATGGCATTTGCGAATAAATGAACAGAACTGGAGACCAATCCCAAACAATCAATGTTTTCCCTGATATGAAGATGCTAAATCAAATAAGTGGGGGCAGGGATAGGGAAGATTAGAAGTACTTTGGATTAGACAAAGGGGAATGAAGGGAGGGGAGGGGGAATGGGAATAGGAAAGATGGTAGAATGAATCAGACATTACTTTCCTGTGTGTATTAATCAATTCACGACCAATGTAATTCCACATCATGTACAACCAGAAGAATGGGAAGTTACACTCCTTACATGTATAATATGTCAAAATACATTCTACTGTAATATATAACTGGTAAGAACAAATTTTAAAAAAGACTTAACAATGTTAAAAAAAATAAAGTGAATAGCCATTCTATAAGATTCAGATAACAGGCTTCTTGGGCCATCAGGGCCAATCCCCCTTTCCTAGGCATTGTAAATGTCAGTCCTGATTTGCTTTGGGTTCCTTTCTGTGGGAGAGAATTTGTGAGTGGGACAGAGAAAGCTGAAGGCAAAAGACTGGGGTGACTCCCCGGTGCTTCACAAAGGTTTGATATCCTGAGCCTGACCCTGGCAGCTCTCAGGAGTACCAAATGTCAACCACTATCTGTCCTTCTGTCCCTTGCTTCTAGCTTCTGACTTACTTGGCCTGATGGCAGAGGGAACCCTCACCTGATGTCTCTTGGATCCTGAAACAAAGTCTTGGTCTGATCCAAGTTCTTTGGGAAAGAGGTGACCAGAGCATGAGCCAAACAGTCTCTCTCCTATGTGAGAAAAATGACTCTTCCCTATGTATGTCTTGGAGTGTAGGTTATTTCCAACTACTCTATATGTCCTACTTACCCTCAATTCTTTCACCTTCTATCAAGTACCTGAATAAAATCTCTAGGAACCTCCAGGCTTTTGACCACTTTCTGGAACCCAAATCATAAGCCTGTTCCTGGTGTCCACCTCTTAAAAAGGAACCTGTTAGGGAGATTATCAAGATAGAGCTCCCCTGGATTCAAAATTAGACTGCCTTCTCTGGGATTCCACAAAACATCTTTTCCTTTGTATTCCCCCTCATCCTGTTATGATCTAAATTAATCAATACAAGTAATACATTATAGGTTATAGATTAGGATTATAAAATATAGATTAATGAAATAGGAAAGGCAATAGGATTATAAGTGTTATAGAATTAGTAATGTTAAGTTATCTAGGTCTGCCCTAGTTATAA